CATACAGATTGGTTTCCTGCCTGCCCCTGTTGCCATTTTGGTTTATTTCCTTAGCATGTATTTCTCAAAGTGAAATTACAGCGTTACAGGGTCAAAGGATTTGTAGCTTTTATTACATACCTGCCAGCTTGCCCTAAATAATGACTGTGCTGACTTACTGGGTAGAAGTGTGTTTTGAGAAGAGGCTAGGTTTGGTTCACAAATCCCAGTTCTACTGTTTGATATTTGTTACCATTTATTATAATCTTGAGCAGATTTCTCTTTGAACCTCTTTCTTCTTCAGTGAAATGTGTTAATAAGTTCATCTCTCAGGGTTGTTTTGAGACTTAAGTGAGATATTGTCTTTAAAACATTTAGCTCTGTACCTGGCCATATAATAACTGTTTAGTGATTGGTGATAGTCTGTTATCAGCAGAATACATGTACTTGCTCTTCCACATCCTAAAAATATTAACACTTATAATTTTTATTTGCTCTTTGTTATTTTGATAGTACTTACACTTGTTTGATTCTGGATTTATTAGAGAAGGACTAAATCTTTCTATCTGGTGATTTATCTTCTGACTCTGCTTAAGTGCTTTTAAGTCTAGTAGTGTTAAAGCTAGGTATGGATGAAATGTTGCTTAGTAGAGCATGTTAGGGAAGATGTTTAAGGAAATAAATATGGGTTTTAAAATAAGAATTATCGATTGAGTCTTCTTGACTTAACAGCATATTATTATAGGTGAATCTAAGTGTTACCATGGGAATTCTATTTGTACCACCAATTTGGCCAGGAAACATTTGTGCATATGTATACATTTTCCAAGGTTAACTTTGGATTGATCTAAATAGAATATAAATTAATCATGGTTTACTGGAGTTTAAAAAGAATCCAGATCTTGGGCTAGGAGCCACTCTGTGTTAGATTGTTACATTCATGTCAGTACAGTGTGAGCTGAGAACACCCCAGGCTGACTGACTGCTTGTGACTGTGGACAGGGCAGGTGACCTCTCTGGCTGTCAGTTCCTTACCTGCAAAATGGGACAGCCAGACTAGAATTATTCTTTTTTTTTAATTTATTTTTATTTTTTTTATTGTAGAGATGAGGTCTCGCCAAGTTGCCTGAGCTGGTCTCAAACCCACGGGCTCAGGCAGTCCACTCACCTTGGCCTCCCAAAGTGCTGGGGTTACAGGCTGAGGCACCAATAGAATTATTCTTAAGATTTTAGCTTAAGAGGTAATTTGAATCTTTAATTCAGAGGGTGTAATTGTCCTATTGTACCCACTCCATGTCCTTACTGAGTCAGCCACCTCTCTTTTTTTTGAGTTGGAGTCTCCATTGCCCAGGCTGGAGTGCAGGGGCACACTCACGGCCACCCCAGCATCTACCTGCTGGGCTCAGGCGATCCTCCCACTTCAGCCTTCCAAGTAGCTGGAATTACAGATGTGTGCTACCACACCCAGCTGATTTTTTATTTGTTGTGGAGACAAGGTCTTGCCAAATTGTCTGGGCTGGTCTCAAACCTGTGGGCTCAGGCAATCCACTCACCTTGGCCTCCCAAAGTGCTGGAATTACAGGCTGAGCCAACAAACCCGGCCGTCAGTCACTTTTTTTTTTTTTTGCCACCTAGACTCTTTCCTCTTGCACACCTGGATGTCTGTTTTTTATCTTTCTTGGGAAAGAACACCCAACCTGTGGCCATTGTTGCAGATCTTTCTCTAATAAAAGGAAAGTATTTATCTTCCACATAGGTTTTTTTTTTTTTTTTTTAATTGAGACACAGCTTTATTTTTCCAAAGCGTGGCTCATTGGTTCTGCTGGTCACTTGGATGTGCCTGTGTTGGTGTGTGCACGGAAGTACCCAGCACCTCCACCTGCTTCCATCCTTTGCGTTTCATGTGTCCTTGTCCAGCTCATCTAAAGGTCCCACACATCTCTCAGTTTTCAACATCGATGCTACTGTTAATGATTGATTTCAACCCATTTAGTCTTGTGGGCCAGGAGCTTTTAGAGCCCAGTCAGTCATCGAATCCAACAAGGGCACTGTCTCAGAGTCCCTGTGAGCTCTGAATCACATCAGGGTGTTGACAGTCCTGGAAGTCTGGATCTTTCTGCCAGAGACTGTCTAGGTTGGAGAGATTTGGGGTGTTGTGCTAGGTGATGGCAGCCACAAATAAAAAAGATGAGAAATAAATCGTTTGGAAGATAGTCTGCATATGGGTAATTGCAGAACTGAGTACTTAATTTTTTTTCTTTCTTTCTACTCCCATTTACACCAAACTGTGTTCTTTTTGGGAACGCTAGAGCAATGAAAATAGACATACAATACACACACTTACACATACACATATTCCTTCCTTACCTGTTTTTATTTTTCTTTTCTTTTTTGAGTCGGAGTCTCACTCTGTCCCCCAGGCACGCTCTTGGCCACCAAAGCCACAATCTGCTGGGCTCAGGTGATCTTCCACTTCAGCCTTCCAAGTAGCTGGAACTATAGGTGCACACCACCATGCCTGGCTAATTTTTTTATTTATTGTAGAGATGAGGTCTCACCAAGTTGCCCAGACTAGTCTCGAACCCCTGGACTCAGGCAATCCTCTCGCCTCCACTTCCCAAAGTGTTGGGATTACAGGCTTGAGACCTGTTTCTAAAATAAATCAAAAAATTAGCTGGGCAGTGGCACATGCCTGTGATTCCGGCTACTTGAAAAGGCGGAAGGGTTGCTCGAATCCAGCAGGTTGTTGCTGGGTGACCCTGAGTGTGCCACTGCTCTCCAGCCTGGGTGACAGAGTGAGATTCCAACTCAAAAAAAAAAAAAAAAAAAAAAGGTGATGGCTTGTACTGCCATCCTAGGATGGGCAGGAGAGGAAGAAGAATGCCTGGAGGGCTGTCAGGAAGATGGATACCTCCAGAGGGTCTGTGATACAGGCCAGAGGAGGAAGAGACGATGAGCAGCTGGGGAAGAGGTCACCTATTCACAGACCAAAAGGGCAGCCTTGTGTGATAACAGGGCCTGGAGCTCGAGGGCACCAACAAGGCTGACTTGATGAAGAGCCTTATCTCCAGGGTTCATGCCCTCAGGAAACTCTGAGCTTAGACAGGAGTGATGACAAGTTGTAGCAGTTGCAGAGCAAACTGTCTTAATCCTCTGCAAAAAGGATTGAGGTGTGCATAAGTGCAGCTTGTACCTCTGAATACTTTCACCCCAAATAAAGCCTGGTTGTGAGCACCTTCCCAGAGCCTTTCCCTAACACCCCATGATTTGGTGGTCCCTGGCCCCTCTTCTCTGGCTTATGCCTTGTGATCCTCTGCCAGCAGAAAGCTGGGCATACTGGGCAGTCCTTTATGCCAAGAGGAGCCCTTGAGGATCTTCTCTGAGCCACCAGCTGGTCACTCATCAAATGAACGTTCATATTCTTAAGTGGTAAGGGCCACACTGACGCTGTGAGGACAGGAGAGAGGGAAGCAAAGAAGAGGGATGGCCTCCTTGGAGTCTACTCGTTACTGGAAGTTCTTTCCCTTTATTCTGCTCTGGGCTGTTTTTAGCTTCAGCCACCTTCACAGAAAGCTCTTGGCTCTGGGTGAGAACATCTTGAATTGGGATTCGTATTTGTGGAAATTGAAAAAGGAGATACATATGGTGACTGTTTCTACTATTCTGATGTGCCTCCTGCCCCTATTGTTATGAAAACATTTAACTCCAAACAAGTGACTTGAGTTGTAACTCTGTTTTAATTTAAAAAGGTGAAGCTGGCCACTCACTCACCCAGTCTTCACTCAGGTAACCCAGGTGTATCTCTTCTCCCTGAATGTCACTACCCTTGGCCCGTGGCCCCCATCTCAGTCACCCTGGGGGTCTAGTCCTGGATTCCACACATCCTGAGGACTCTAGGAATAAGGATTACTCTATTACCCTATTGCAGATATTCAACTTACACACAGTTAGGGCTTTTGCTTAAAGTGGGTTGTATGGGGTCAGTATTTTCAGGAATATGTGAAACCCCGGGGATTTGTGACTTGTCAGATCTGTATGTAAGCACAATCTCCCAGCCACCTGCCTGCTTCTGATAGGGTTACTGACTGCCTTCAAGAACTGAGAGTGTTCATACTGGGTTGTTCCTCTGACTCCTGGGAGTAATAGGTTACTCCCAGGGCTAGCTCCTCTGATGGGGGTCCCTGTTTTTACCTCAGGGTACTGATGAGGATATCTTAGCCTTTGTCAAGATTGTCTGGGTAGAGTGGAGGTAGGTCCTTCTGGTACTGAGACAGTTCTGTGCTTGTGCAAATAAAACACTTCAAAAAGGATACCGCCCCTGCTTGTAAGGTGTCGGAAGGAAGCAGTGGCTGACAGTGGAGTTAAACAAACTTTAAGGTAGGTCAAATTTTTGACATACCATTTTCCTCTCCCATACCAGCAGCTGCTCTCTACTTTGAAAGGGGGCTTAGCTGCTCGTATAAACTTTGGTTTGTGATAATGTAAACTATTATTAGGATTATCTTTTTATTCATAATATATGCCTGACTCTGTCTACTTTATTTATGCTCTATTTGAAACACTCATTTACCTTCAATACCCAGAGCCAGCATCAACCCCTCTGAAAATGAAGGAAAACTTTATAACAGACCATCCATTAAATCTCTCTGTGGTTAAAAAGGACTCTGGGAATGAAATCACTGGGTTGAGGAAGCTTCAAATCTCGGCAAAGCTTCCAGGTTAAAACTGGGATGTGATGTTGACAAAACATTCCAGTTAAAAAAATTTTTTTTTAATGAAGGTTTATCCCAAGGGTGGCTGTTTTCATAAAGAAATGCTTAATTCTCACTTGGGAATGTTTGGCCTTCAAAGTCTCCTGTTCTCTTTCTCTCACGTTTTATCACCGCCTGGTGGAACCATTTGCCACTGAAGACGTTCTGGAAGCTAGAGAAGTTCCCCAGTTTCAGGCTGGCAACACTGCAGGCAGCCAGGCCCTGCCTCCCTGCCAGGAGGTAGGAGGGATGCCGCGTGGTTCTGCCTCAGGTGCTCCCTTGTTGTTTGTCAGTGGAGAGCGGGTTAGTGTGCGAGCCAAGAAAAACCAATAACCTTTTCAATTTTTAATAAAATGTTTCTCCCACCCATTGTTTTTCCCTCCACTCCTCCTCAAGAAAAACAGACTAAATGTTTAAGCACATCTGGACATTGTTTTTGTAAAACTCTTACCTTAAATTCCCAGAAGGAATGTATTGGCTCCCATTTTTCCAAGCAAAAACTGAAACGATTCCTTTGTTTATAAGTACTGTGCTTACATATTTTAATAAAACAGTAATGAAAGGAATTGCACTGATTTGAGAATCCTTAGCTAGGCCTAAATGTCCCTTATGCCTCTCTTGAAGTCTTTGAGAGGTGCTAAAAGTTTATGGTTGGTTATTTTTGGTGAGAGTGGGAAAGGGAGGGTGGGAAAGGCTCCATATGCCTGTTTTTGAAATGACTTTTTTCTGCTTTCTGTGGCTGTAAGAGTGAGACTATGGGTGCACATAGCCTGTCCATCTGTTCTGCTTTCTCTACCTTGCAGTGCCCTCTTGGTAATCAGATTATAGTGTTCCAGATCTGAGAACCCAAAGGCCTTCAGTTGAGGACACAGTTCATCTTACCACCAGAGGGTGTTTTTCCTTCTAGGTGATTCTTCTATAAGCTTATTGATGTCAAGAAAATGAGATTGATCTTTCATTAGTACCAGTCTACTAGATGTTGGCATGCTGTTCTTCTCATATGGGAAGAATTACAAAAGAAATTTAATGACTGTCAGGCTTTTAAAGATGAGATACAGAGGCATTTGCTGTTTTGGGAGACTTGTAAGATGACATGGTTTTGTTCAAACTGGTGGCCGCAGAAGTTCTTTTTTTTTTTTTGAGTTGGAGTCTCACTCTGTTACCCAGACTGGAGTGCAGTGGCCGCTCCCGGCCACCGCAGCCTCGACCTGCTGGGCTCCGGCGATCCTTCCGCCTCAGCCTTCCCAGTAGCTGGAATTACAGGCATGCGCTACCACGCCCGGCTGATTTTTTGATTTATTGTAGAGATGAGGTCTCGCTGCCCAGGCGGGTCTCAAACCCGCGGGCTCAGGCAATTCACTCACCTCAGCCTCCCAAAAGCGTGGGATTACAGGCTGAGCCACCGAACCCGGCTAGAAGTTCTTTTTAATGCCCTCACAATTATGTTTATGAATTAAAGTTGTATTTTTAGGAAGACATCAGTGATATAACTAAGTTATGAGGGTCATAGCTCAGCTGCTACCCAAAAAATGTGTGTTAGTGATAAGCATTTCACCAGAATAATAGTTACTGCTTCTTAGAATTTCACTTTCCCTAGACCTATCCTGGGTATCTGGAAATAAACCCCAGAGGTGTAATATTCCTATAGGCCTCATCACAGAGATTCACCAAATTTTAGAGATGACCATAAGTCAGCTTTTTTCCTTTACTTTTGAGGAAGAAGGTCGTTAGCCATCATGCCAGGGTTGATTCACGAAGCCTGTCATTAACTATGAATGTACATTTGTCAGGTGACAGCAAGTGTTGAATAATGTCCAAAACAGGGTAGCCTGAGAATTAATACTTACATGAGTGCCTGTATGCAGACATTCACCATTTTCATGAGCTTTGAACACAAACTGTTTGCCTAAATTGAAATCTAATTTGAAAACTTTGATAATGTTCTAACCAATCTTTTGAACTTTTTTTTTTTTGAGTCAGAGTCACCCTGTTACCCAGGCTGGAGTGCAGTGGCACGCTCATGGCCACCACAGCCTCAACCTGCTGGGCTCAGGTGATCCTTCTGCCTCAGCCTTCCAAGTAGCTGGAGTCACAGGCATGTGCCACCATGCCAGGCTGATTTTTTAATTCATTGTAGAGATGCAGTCTCGCCAAGTTGGCCAGACTGGTCTTGAACCCCTGGGCTCAGGCAGTCCTCTTGCCTCCCAAAGTGCTGGATTACAAGTGCAATCTTTTGAACTTTGGTTTCTCTTTGAGTTCTGGGAAATGCCAGTTATTCTGAGTGCTAGCTCTTGGACCTGTTGGTTAGGAATGTTTGACTTAAAAAAAAAATGTCCTGATTTAGTTAACTGACTACTAGTTCAGTGTTGTTTGTCTATACATTTTCCAGATAGTATTATTTCAAAAACTACAAGAAACTATTCTTTCAAAAGTGGACCAAACGGTAAAGCACTGAGCAGATCTTAGAGAGCTTCGTGACTTGGGTTTCCCTGTGCTCTTCTGCATAATGTGAGAGATTAGGGGTTGTCCTGGCAGTACTATGAGCTCTGAGTGCAGCTTTACCTCCATAGTGCTGGGCTTGGTATCTGCACACAGAAGCCTGACAGTGAATCAACCGCCTTCTCAGAACCTTTTTCCAGTGCCAATGGCAGTTTTTTGTTTTTAGGTTTTCAAACATATAAAACCAGAAGTCCGAATAGCAGCAAAAAAATTGGGAATTAATATGGAGGCACAATTTTGAATTATCTATCAGTATAGCTATTTGCTTAGAGATTTGTATAATCAAAAAGGTCTTCATGTTGAAAACATCCATCTTGACATTCTTTTACCTATAACCTATCTAATATTCTTCATTTTAATTCTGTTTCACCCTCCTCCTACCTTACTAACCTAACTTTTTCAATTCTTCTTTTCCTTCTCCACATGACCTAACTGTGGGTAGTCCCACAAGGCCTAATTCCTGATCTTTGTTATTTTTTTACACCTTCTGTTACTTTTTTATACATTCTGTGAAATCGCCCATCTGTCGTTAAGGTTCTGTAGCATCACTTCTCACATGACTTCCTGCCTTCTAATCCCACGTTTCCCCCCTGAAAAATATATGATATTGTTAGAAAGATATTCTCTAGTCACCTCACTTTCACTAGTTTTTTCCAGCATCCTTGTTTAAGAAAAAGACCCTCCTTCCCCGGTGCCCTTTTTTATTGCCTTAAAATTGCTATCTCCCAACTTCCCCAAATAAGAGCCCACAAGTCCCCTTTGAATATTTCATCACCACCTTTGTATTGCATGTGTCACCAAGTCCTGCCATTTTTCCTTAAAAATCCCTCTCAGGCGGGGCTCAGTGGCTCAGCCTGTAATCCTAGCACTTTGGGAGGCCAAGGCAAATGAATTGCCTGAGCTCACAGGTTTGAGACCAGCCTGGGCAACTTGGCGAGACCTCGTTTCTACAAAATTAGTCGGGCATGGTAGCACATGCCTGTAGTTCTGGCTACGTGGAAGGCTGAGGTGGAAGGATTGCCAGAGCCCAGCAGGTCGACACTGGGGTGGCCGTGAGTGTGCCACTGCACTCCAGCCTGGGTGACAGAGTGAGACTCCAACTCAAAAAAAAAAAAGAAATCCCTCTCAGATGTGTCATTTCCTCCTTATCATCATCCCAACATCCTCATCACTTTACATGTGGACTGCTACAGTTACTTCCGTTCTGATTTATCTAGCTCCAGTCTTCCACCTTCCTAATTATTCCTTAAAATGTGGTCCCAACACTGTTTTGTTATCATAACTTTCTATTTTTTTTCTTAGAGACAGGGTCTCATTCTGTCTCCCAGGCTGGAGTGCAGTGCCACAATTAAAGCTCACTGCAGCCTCGAGCTACCTGGCTCAAGTGATCCTCCTGCTTCAGCCTACTGAGTAACTGCTACTACAGGTATATGTCATCAGGCTTGGATAATTTTTTATTTTCAGTTTTTTTGTAGGGACACGTCTCACTATGTTTCCCAGGCTCCTGGACTCAAGTAATTCTCCTACCTTTTTTTTTTTTTTTAAACTTTTTTCTATTGTTTTGTGATAAAATTTACAATTTTAACCATTTTAAGTGTTCAGAGGTATTAAGTAAATTTACAATGATGTGCAACTGTCACCACTGCTCATCACGAGAGCCTTTTCATCTCCCTAAACAAATTTCATACCCATTAAACAGTAACTCTACACTTTCTTCTCCCCCACCCCCTAGCAACCACCATTCTCCCTTCTGTCTCTAGGAATTTGCTCTAAATACTTCATATAAAAGGAATCATGCAGTATCTGTCCATCTGTCCTTTTGTGCTAATGTTAGATTTTTAAAGATTGTATTTAGTGGCCTGATCTGTAGGGATATTGATGAGTTGGTAAAAGCTTACAAAGGGCCTTTGCTTTTGAGTCTTATCTCTTTAGTAGTTAGTGAGCTCTACCTGGGAGCATGAAACTGGTTTACCCTGAGTGCAGAGAAGAAAGTCAAGGTATATAGAAGTGATGAGGAAAGATTAGAGAGATGGTTGGGTCTCTGTGGCACTCACCTAATATCAAAAGTTAGTGACAAATTTTGTCATGGAGGAAAAGATAAGGTGAAAATTGGAAGTGGTGGTGACTTCCAATTTTCCACATTTCTCCTTCTTTAAATACCTTCCATCTATGTTAGGGGCAAGGAATCAGGCCCATTTTGAAAATAAGAGAACGTGTGTAATAAGACCCTTGCTTCAGTCTTCTGTTTTTTCTGCGGGCCCTGAGGTTTGATGCATTCCTTTGATTTTATTCTTGGATACCTTTGGTTCATCCTTTGAAACTGCTGTTTTATTGCCCCTTTTTTTTCTCTTGCCCTTCCCCTACCTAGCCCATTGCTACCTTGGCTTGCATTGGAGACTTTTCTCCCACCCAGCTCCTGTCTGCCAAGTCCCGACTTGTCCTCACATTTGTAAGCACCACTTTGTTTAGGTCTTGCTTTAACTCCAAGATGCACCACATGAAACCAAACCCACTTGTCCATCCCAGCATTTGGTTACCATCTTTTCAGGCCAGTTGGGGGTATGTAACACAGAAGGGATGAGGATGTTGGTCACTTTCTCTAGGAATGTTAGAAGTGTTTGTTCTAGATGATGGGGAGGGCTCCATGTCATCCCTAGGAGTAGCAGCCGTTTCATTTTCTAAATGCTTACCATGTGCTGGGCACCAGGTGGTGCAGTTGGTTACATGTGGTTCTGTATCTGCTTGAAATGGTCTTTCCTTTCCGCTGCCTCTCACCCCAAAGCTTGACGTGCCTCAGTGTCCAG